TCAACCCATACCCTGTCAACCCATACCCTGTCAACCCATACCCTATCAACCCATACCCTGTCAACCCATACCCTGTCAACCCATACCCTGTCAAAACATACCCTGTCAACCCATGCCCTGTCAACCCATGCCCTGTCAACCCATACCTTGTCAACCCATACCCTATCAACCCATACCCTATCAACCCATACCCTGTCAACCAATACCCTGTCAACCCATACCCTGTCAACTCATACCCTATCAACTCATAACCTATCAACTCATACCCTGTCAACCCATAACCTGTCAACCCATACCCTATCAACCCATACCCTGTCAACCCATACCCTGTCAACCCATACCCTATCAACCCATACCTTATCAACCCATACCCTGTCAACCCATACCCTATCAACCCATACCCTGTCAACCCATACCCTATCAACTCATGCCCTGTCAACCCATACCCTGTCAAACCATACCCTGTCAACCCATACCCCGTCAACCCATACCCCGTCAACCCATACCTTGTCAACTCATACCTTGTCAACCCATACCATGTCAACTCATACCCCGTGAACCCATACCCTGTCAACCCATACCCTATCAACTCATACCCTGTCAACCCATACCCTGTCAAACCATACCCTATCAACTCATGCCCTGTCAACCCATACCCTGTCAAACCATACCCTGTCAAACCATACGTTGTCAACCCATACCCTGTCAACCCATACCCTGTCAACCCATACCCTGTCAAACCATACCCCGTGAACCCATACCCTGTCAACCCATACCTTGTCAACCCATATCTTGTCAACCCATACCCCGTGAACCCATACTCTGTCAACCCATACCTTGTCAACCCATACCCCGTGAACCCATACCCTGTCAACCTATACCCTGTCAACCCATACCCTGTCAACCCATACCTTGTCAACCCATACCCTGTCAACCCATACTCTGTCAACTCATACCCTGTCAACCCATACCCTATCAACTCATACCCTGTCAACCCATACCCTGTCAACCCATACCCTGTCAAACTATACGTTGTCAACCCATACCCTGTCAACCCATACCCTGTCAACCCATACCCTGTCAGCCCATACCCTGTCAACCCATGCCCTGTCAACCCATACCTTGTCAACCCATACCCCGTCAACCCATACTCCGTGAACCCATACCTTGTCAACCCATACCTTGTCAACCCATACCTTGTCAACCCATACCCCGTCAACCCATACCCCGTCGAACCCATACCCTGTCAACCCATACCCTGTCAACCCATACCCCGTCAACCCATACCCTGTCAACCCATACCCTGTCAACCCATACCCCGTCAACCCATACCCCGTCAACCCATACCCTGTCAACCTATACCCTGTCAACCCATACCCTGTCAACTCATACCCCGTCAACCCATACCCCGTCAACCCATACCTTGTCAACCCATACCCTGGCAACCCATACCCCATTAACCCATACCCTGTCAACCCATACCCTGTCAACCCATACCCTGTCAACCCATACCCTGTCAACTCATACCCCGTCAACCCATACCCCGTCAACCCATACCCTATCAACCCATACCCTGTCAACCCATACCCTGTCAACCCATACCCTATCAACCCATACCTTATCAACCCATACCCTGTCAACCCATACCCTATCAACCCATACCCTGTCAACCCATACCCTATCAACTCATGCCCTGTCAACCCATACCCTGTCAAACCATACCCTGTCAACCCATACCCCGTCAACCCATACCCCGTCAACCCATACCTTGTCAACTCATACCTTGTCAACCCATACCATGTCAACTCATACCCCGTGAACCCATACCCTGTCAACCCATACCCTATCAACTCATACCCTGTCAACCCATACCCTGTCAAACCATACCCTATCAACTCATGCCCTGTCAACCCATACCCTGTCAAACCATACCCTGTCAAACCATACGTTGTCAACCCATACCCTGTCAACCCATACCCTGTCAACCCATACCCTGTCAAACCATACCCCGTGAACCCATACCCTGTCAACCCATACCTTGTCAACCCATATCTTGTCAACCCATACCCCGTGAACCCATACTCTGTCAACCCATACCTTGTCAACCCATACCCCGTGAACCCATACCCTGTCAACCTATACCCTGTCAACCCATACCCTGTCAACCCATACCTTGTCAACCCATACCTTGTCAACCCATACTCTGTCAACTCATACCCTATCAACCCATACCCTATCAACTCATACCCTGTCAACCCATACCCTGTCAACCCATACCCTGTCAAACTATACGTTGTCAACCCATACCCTGTCAACCCATACCCTGTCAACCCATACCCTGTCAGCCCATACCCTGTCAACCCATGCCCTGTCAACCCATACCTTGTCAACCCATACCCCGTCAACCCATACTCCGTGAACCCATACCTTGTCAACCCATACCTTGTCAACCCATACCTTGTCAACCCATACCCCGTCAACCCATACCCCGTCGAACCCATACCCTGTCAACCCATACCCTGTCAACCCATACCCCGTCAACCCATACCCTGTCAACCCATACCCTGTCAACCCATACCCCGTCAACCCATACCCCGTCAACCCATACCCTGTCAACCCATACCCTGTCAACCCATACCCTGTCAACTCATACCCCGTCAACCCATACCCCGTCAACCCATACCTTGTCAACCCATACCCTGGCAACCCATACCCCATTAACCCATACCCTGTCAACCCATACCCTGTCAACCCATACCCTGTCAACCCATACCCTGTCAACTCATACCCCGTCAACCCATACCCCGTCAACCCATACCCTGTCAACCCATACCCTGTCAACCCATACCCTGTCAACCCATACCACGTTAACCCATACCCTGTCAACCCATACCTTGTCAACCCATACCACGTCAACCCATACCCTGTCAACCCATACCCCGTTAACCCATACCCTGTCAACCCACACCCTGTCAACCCATACCCCATCAACCCATACCCTGTCAACTCATACCTTGTCAACCCATACCCTGTCAACCTATACTCCGTGAACCCATACCCTGTCAACCCACACGGTTTCCCCTGTATTCTTGTACAGGGAAATTGAGTTTTCAGGTCCATACGGCGTACAGCCGTTACCATACGGGCAATAACAAAACAATGTGTTTCTCTCCCTTGTGATGCGAATTTGTAGGATGAATGTTGAGATTCATAAGGGGCACGGGTTGACCAATAAGATCTGAATCGGTCTGTAATGAGGTAGGGCACTGATAAGGTTTGACAGCTTTGATGTCATTACAACAACCTCCACCCCGCTAGCTCCGCGCCGAAGACAAACTCACCTGGGGAATCGTTCTGCAACCCGCGTGTGAGTTTGCGCGTTTCCCTCTAACGCGCGCGCACGTGCCGCGCCAACGCCCGGTGGCGATTGTCTGAACCGCTCCTGGGCCTCCCCGCTGTAGGTCGACTCAGCCTTAAATAATTACAAAACAAACACAAAATCAGGACTTTTATGAGAGAGACATAGACGGCCTGGCTTGATACTGACCACGCCACCACACCCCCCCCCCCTTCCCCATTGTGCGCCGTTCATAGCCGCCTGCTAACGGGCACTTGCCCCAGCAGCTTGTGTTAGCCTATGCGGGTTATCTTTGTATTTATAATTTAAAGCCCCGCCACCCCCCGCCGGAATGATGAATGGCGGTCGCATTCCTCTAAGCAATACGCGAGTGCGTGGCCGTGTGAATTTATAGGCATTAATTCGTGACGAGAGAGCGTGGGGCTCTTTTCTGTAACAAAACGTGGGCTTTAAAAAAAAATAAAGAAAAAAAAGTTGGGGTAGGAGGGGGACAAGAGGAGTTGGGGGGGAGGGGACGGGCGGAGAGTTTGAGGTATGAAATGGGATTTAAATGCCGTCGTTTAAGCGCTGCTGGTGCTGGTGCTGCTGTGAATGCTCAGCCGTGTGGTCGGAAAGCGATTACCCCGGGCGGCGCGTTCTCACTCGCTCGGCGTGCGTGCGAGAGTTGCGAGCGAGTGTGTGAGTGTGTGAGTGAGAGTGTGAGAGTGCGTGAGAGTGTGTGAGTGTGTGAGTGTGTGTGAGTGTTTGTGAGTTGAGTGTGTGGGGAGCGGTAGTGTAGCGGTTAGCGCGCTGCACTATGAACGTGGTAGACCCGGGTTCGATTCCCGCTCACGGCCAACACCAGTGACGACTATCTGAACCGGTCCTGGGCCTCCCTTAGATCGACTCAGCTTGAAATGAGTACCTGGTGCGGTGGAGTAAGCATCGCCTCTGGGGAGACAAAGGCGGTCTGGCGTGGTGCTGGCCACCCATCCCCTCGTGTACCGTTCCGGCCTTCATAGGTGCTCGCTAACAGCACTTGCCCCTACAGTCTAAGGCTATACGGGGGATCTTGCTTTGTGTGTGTGAGTGTGTGAGTGTGAGCGTGTGAGCGTGAGAGTGGATCGTACGGTCTCGGCTCATTAAAGCGCATTACGATTTCATTGAGGGTTAGTGACGCGCCGGGGGGGGGGGTACAGGGTGTATAGACCGCGAGACAGCGAGACTCGCCGATTGCACTTTCATCGTTGTCGTCGTCTTCATCATTATTATCATCTACATAATCATCGTCACCATCATCGTCGTCATTATCCTCACCGTCGTCATCATCACCATCAATACGCAGACACACTCACGTGGACACGCAGGGATAACAAAGGCAAAGATCCCCCTACCGGTATAGCCTCTACAGACTTTTTGACCTGAAGCCGAGCCTTCTTTCACAGGTGCTTCTCGCTCAGAGCACTTGCCTCAACAGCCCGTTGGGGCTGCATGGGGGGATCTCTGTCTGGTCTGGTCACGTAGTATGCATGTCTCTTGAACTTCTTTCGCGCCGTACGTAGCCAACCGTGCTCATCGGAGGTGCGGGGGAAGGACCTGCAGTGCACCTAGCGTGGCACAAGCGCCGTGGTGACGTTTGTTGTTGTTGTTGTCGGTCACGCAGGCGTCGCCACTTTGGCCAAGCTGGACAAGATGTCGAGTTTGGCTCTGCCTGCCGAACTCACCGTGGCACCAAGCTCCGTGCCCGGGGAAGACCTGGGCATCTACACGAGAACCTGGATCAAGCAGGGGACCGAGATGGGACCTTTCACGGGCAAGATGATTCCCCCGGACGGTGTGGACATCTTCAAGAACAACAACCTCATGTGGGAGGTATGGAGCCGTGGAACCGGGGCATTGCAACGGGTGGCTGAGATAGACTATGAACTAAACTTAGTTTGTTTTAAACCAAGTTAAGGCTTTACTGAGCTATGTAGCTCTATTGTTTGCAGAAGCGACCCTGACCACGAATGATAGCTCCAACGAAGTCGCTTATCATCGTGTGGACATTTATAGCAGCGGAATACTCTAAACGCGTGTTTCTCGGTGTGGAGGGGAAAACGGGATGACCTGCAAAAACGAGACCACGGGGAGAGAGACTTCGACAAACTCCAAATATACAGCAGCAGGCGTCAGGGTCGGGATCTAATCCACGACCTCCTGTATACCAGGCGAGGTAGTTAACATCGCAGGAATTGATTCCAAGTTTACTCTCCAACGAGGCCCCCCCCGAGATCTTCGGATCGTCTTCTTCTAGGAAAGATGTCTTTAGATTATTTTGATTATTTGGCTGCTATAAATTTCCACGTTGATATAAGCCACTTCGTTGAGCTATCATTTGTGGTCAGGTCGCTTCTGAAAAATGAGAAGCTGATAGCTCAGTGGGCCTTAACTGTTAAAGTAAAATAAAGAAATGTATTTGCTTAACTTTCCTACACTTTGCACTCCTATCGTGTTTTTTGTACTGTTTATTGTTGTTGTTACTGATGTCACTTTCTGACCCGCCCCTACCGGACATCTGTGAAAAAGAGCTTCATAGCTCATCGGATTTCCTCTTCGAGTCTAAATACAGATTCAGATCCTGAGTACTCCGAGGTCAAGCCTAATTTTTCTGGGGTGATCGGTGATTTTTTGTTTTGTTTGCACAGCGCAGCTCCCAGACTCCGGAACGAACGCTCGCAACGCTCGTTCGGTCCCGTCTCTAAAAATCTCACCTCTTTAAATTGGCCCTTTACCACCCCCCCCCCCACCCCCGGTTTTGACCGTTCGCCTGCAGGTTCTGTTTATTTCCTGCTTGGTGGGATTTGCGGATGAAATGCGCCTTACAAATGTAAATTACGATTACGACAGCAGTTCTGCAGTGACAACTTCCGGGGGACTTACTCTGACACAGGGTGATGCGCACCTGGCTGAGGTTGTTCCAAATAGAAATCGCTTGGGTAGGGGGGGCTTCGTCCAGCAGTGGATCGAGCATGGATAAATGATGACGATGTTGAGATGGCGATGGTTTTGGAAGGACTTCGTCCAGCAGTGAATCGAGCATGGCTGATTGATGATGATGTTGACATTACGATGGTAAGTGGATCAAGCATGGCTGTTTGATAATGATGATTATGAAGTGCCGATGACGATCATCATCATGCCTGACAATCACGATGATAACCATGGCTGATGATGACGATCATGGCTGATGATGATGATAATATAAATCATATGATGATGATCATCATCATGGCCGTCGATGATGAGGATCATGGCTGACGATCGCTTATGATGATCATGACTGGTAGATGATGATCAGGTTGATGAGGATCATCATAACTCGTGATAATAATGATGGTGATGATGACGATGTCCTCGGCAGGTGTTCAACGAGGATGGCACGGTGCGTCACTTTGTGGACGCGAGCCAGGACAACCACCGCAGCTGGATGACTTACATCCGCTGTGCGCGCAACGAGCAGGAGCAGAACCTGGAGGTCGTGCAGATCGGCAACAGCATCTACTACAAGGCCCTGGAGGTGGGCGCAGAGGCGGAGAGTGACGGAGAGAGGTGACGGAGAGAGGTGACGGAGAGAGGTGACGGAGAGAGGTGACGGAGAGAGATGACGGAGAGAGATGACGGAGAGAGATGACGGAGAGAGATGATGGAGAGATGATGGTTGAGAGATGGAAAGAAATAGAGAGAGATGGAGAGAGATTGAGAGAGATGATGGAAAGAGATGATGATGGAGAGATGGAGAGAGATAGAGAGAGAGGGAGATATATAGAGAGAGATTGAGAGAGATGATGGAGAGAGATGATGATGGAGAGATGGAGAGAAATTGAGAGAGATGATGGAGATAGATGATGATAGATAGATGGAGATAGATAGATAGAGAAGGAGAGATATGATGGAAAGATGGAGATAGATGGAGAGAGATTTAGATAGATTCAGAGAGATGATGGCGAGAGATGGAGAGAGATGGAGAGATGGAGAAAGATGATGGATAGAGATGGAGAGAGATTATGTAGAGGGATGATGGAGAGAGACGGAGGAGCGGAGAAAGAGAGATGCTGAGAGGGATAGAAACAGAGCCAGAGCAACAGAGAAAGATATAAAGTCACACAATACGCGAAGGTAGAGCGAGATAACGACAGAGAGACAAAGACACACACAGAGACATAGATAGACCCTCAGAAAGACACAGTTGGCTGGTTGATTATGGTTAAGGGTCGAAATTGTACCCGTGGCTGGTCGCCTGTAGTTTGCTGGAGTTGAAGTTCTTCAATAGACCTCTTCATCACAATGGTTACATGCCCCGGAAAAAGTGTTTGCCATATGCCAATCAAACTTAATTTTCATTTTCACTCAAAATTAAATTTAGGGCAGACCCGATTTCGATTCCCGCTCACGGCCACCAACAACGGTGACGATTATCTCACGGCACTTACCCCATCAGTCTGTTAAGGCTATACGGGGAACTCTTTGTGGTCACTGGTGACCGGGCACGGACCCATCAATTTGCTAACTTGAGAACCCGCTTTTGAGATAGTCGGGTGGCTAGGACTTGGATGTAAACCCATGCTTTCATCAGTGCTGGCTCAGTGTCTCTGGCACGGCCATTAGGAACCCATCGGAGCAACCCAGCAGTTGTCAAGTTTTAAGTTGATTTAGTTTAACCAGGTGAAAAATCAAGAGATCAGGATGAGTCTCATTTGCAAGGGTGACCTGGGTGAATGAGAGTGGGTGATTGAGTGAATGGATGAGTGGGTAAAATAAGTGGGCGAGTGAATGAGTGAGTTAGTGAATAGGTGGGTGAGTGAATTAATGAGTGGGTGAATTCGTGGGTGAGTATGTGCGTGAGTGAGTGGGTGAATGAGTGGGTAGCTGGGTGGGTAAATTAATTAGTGGATGGATGGGTGAGTGAGTGAATGAATGAGTTGGTGAATTCGTGGCCGAGTATGTGCATAAGTGAGTGGGTGAATGAATGGGTAGCTGGGTGGGTTAATTAATTAGTGGATGGGTGAGTATGAGTGAGTTGGCGATTGAGTGATTAGGTAAGTTCAAGCTGCAATTTTACTTTACTTAACCAGCTGAGAAATTCACAGCGACCAGGATGAGTATTCGTTTACAGGAGTGACTTAGTTCACCAAAATCAACCTTCAACCTCACGTCAAAACCTCCGAGAACGCACAGCTAGCCGATCAGACCATTAGACCATTCCTAACTGACAATAATATGAATAACAATGTACATTTGTAAAGTGGCTAATTTCCTCCGCAGATCCTAATGGACCACTGTGTATGGAAAGCCAGGAAATACACAGATACAGGGTACACGGCTAGAACTAGTCGTGGTGCGAAGGTCGGTTTAAGGGAGGTGAATTTTCAAGACAGGACCCAAACAATATACCTAACGACTCCGATTGTCTTATTAGCGAGGCGTTCCGTGGTCTCGGAGGTGCACAGGTGGCAAACAACCCCATGCAGAGCCTTGACCTCGGAATCCTTAGAGAACAAGGCGATACGAACATCTCAGGGACTTCGCTGGGAGACTCAACACGGATCATCAATTCCTGTCGATATGGCGGGGCGAAGGCACTCAACAGCCTTGTAGATCGGAAGTAGCAGCAGCAGGATGTCATAGTCCACTCGACACTTGACTGGTAGCCAGTGCGAGAGACAATAGAGCAAGTGTGTGTATGTACAGGCAGTCTTCGACTTACGAACATCGCGCTGACTTTTTTTTTTATATACCATTGACTTAAAACGCGAACTCTCACTTGCAAATTGAACCGCGGGACAATTTTGCTCGGCTGAGCGATCCTCCACGAGATGTAAAGAGTCAGCCTCGCGCTGGGAGTGAGCGCTTGTGTGTGTGTGTGTGTGGGGGGGCATTTAAATACGGTACATTTACTGTATTCCGACTTACGAACCGCTCGACTTACGAACGGGCAACATGAACTAATTGTGTTCGTAAGTCGGAGACTGCCCAACCTATTGACGTTTAACTTCTTTCACGCGCCGTACGTAGCCAACCGTGCGAATCGCTGGCGCGAGGTGGTGGGGGGGGGGGGGGGGTAGGACAACAAAACCAAAATACAAAAAGATGATGCATGTGCTCACGAAACGGTGTGAGTGTAAGGACTCTCTATAGCAGCCCGAGTCTATGACTGCGCACCACCTCCATAGATTCGTAACCCTCTCTGTACCTTCTCCTCCTCTTCAATTTACAGCCCATCCCGCCTGACCAGGAGCTGCTGGTGTGGTACAGTTTCTCGCACAACACCTTCCTGGGCATCCCCGGAGTGCCCGGCATCGAAGACGAACAACGCAAGAAGCACAAAGACGGTGAGACGCAAGGGGGGGGGGGGGGGGGGGGAGACACGCGGATAAGAGACACGCGGACACTGCGGATACGCATGGAGACGCACTGAGACACAGCTACAGAGACGCACTGAGACACAGCTACAGAGACATAGGGACACATGGACGAACAGATGCACAGACGAAGAGACGGACACACAGAGACACAGATACAGACACACAGAGCCACAGATACAGACACGGAGACACAGACACGCAGGGACACGCTGGTTAGGGTTAGTGTCAGTGGTAGAACTCGTGCTCGTGGCTGGGCTGATTGGTTGGTTGTGTCGGTGGTTAGTGTGTGCTTGACTAGCTGGTTATTGGTAGGATTAGTAGTACGAGTGGGCTGGTGACTAGTTGGTTAGTGGTAGGGTTAGTAGTTGTTGTGTTTGGTTGGCTAGTAAGGGTTAGGGGTAAGGTTAGGGTCGGTGGCAGGGTGAGTGCTAAGGGGTGGGTGGCCTATTTAATTATAACATTCCTAACTGCAACTTAAAAATAATTTTAGCTCACAAACCTTCACTCTCATGTGAGAGAGACATCGTGTAAGTCACAGCCGAGCTGTGTAGCCACGAGAGGAGAGCCACGTGCTCTCTTCTGGGTTCGCATCTTCCTCAGAACTTTTCACGTGGCATTAAGCCGAAGTCAAACCCCCTGTCGCCTTCCTCCGTGGCCAAACTCACCCCAGCTCATCCACCCACTCTGGATCTTCCTATAGAGTGGTGGGGGGTGGGTGAGTGGTGGTGGTGGTGGGGGCAGAGATATTTAACTCAAGTTTTGGGTTCGTCCTGGCCTATAATTAAAGCAAACATTGTTTTTTTGTTATTCTTTAAGCTGAAGCAAATTAATTTGATTTCTCGAGAGCGGCAGACAGCCAGCGGTTACCTTTGTTGCCGGGCGAGTAAACAGCCGAGGGCAGTTGGGAATCTCCCGAGTCGATCGTATCCAGCAGGAGCATTTGTTTAAGCAACTGAAGAAGAATGAGAAGGCAAAACACAATCCCTCGACCGGAGTCGACCTTCCGGGCCTCATCGGCAGAGTCGAACAATATCGCCGCGCTGCTGGGTCCTGCCCGATGTTTTTCGGTGAGAAAATCCCCCCTCCACGGCGGAGGGTGGTGGGGGGGGGGCGAGACGTGTCTCGTTGTCCTTCCCCCGCACCTCAGATTAGCACGGTTGGCTACGATACGGTGCGAAAGAAGTTCAACGTACACATACGTACGTACCACAGCAGCAGCAGCAACACCAACAACAGAGCAGTCGTGTACACCTCGTGACTGTGCGTGGCAGCTGACGGAGAGCACTGTGGGTACCGGTGATGGATGAGTGCCGTGGGCGAGGAGCGTGGCTCAATTCCCACTCCTGACTCGACAGCCAAAGAAACAGAAATGGAATATTCATGATCGTCTGTCAATGTGTCTGTTTGTATCTCCGTCCGTCCATCTATCAGTCTCCCTGTCTGTCTCACTGTCTGTCCATCTATCAGTCTCTTTGTCTGTCTATCCGTCTGCCTGTCCATCTATCAGTCTCTCTGTCAGTCTCCCTGTCTGTCTCCCTGTCAGTCTCTCTGTCTGCCTCCCTGTCTGTCTCTCTGTCAGTCTCCCTGTCTGTCTCCCTGTCTGTCTCCCTGTCAGTCTCCCTGTCTGTCTCCCTGTCAGTCTCTCTGTCTATCTCCCTGTCTGTCTCCCTGTCTGTCTCCCTGTCAGTCTCCCTGTCAGTCTCCCTGTCAGTCTGTCTGTCTCCCTGTCTGTCTCCCTGTCTGTCTCCCTGTCTGTCTCCCTGTCAGTCTATCTGTCAGTCTCCCTGTCTGTCTCCCTGTCTGCCTCCCTGTCAGTCTCCCTGTCTGTCTCCCTGTCAGTCTCTCTGTCTATCTCCCTGTCTGTCTCCCTGTCTGTCTCCCTGTCAGTCTCCCTGTCTGTCTCCCTGTCAGTCTGTCTGTCTCCCTGTCTGTCTCCCTGTCAGTCTATCTGTCTGTCTCCCTGTCTGTCTCCCTGTCAGTCTATCTGTCTGTCTCCCTGTCTGTCTCCATGTCAGTCTATCTGTCTGTCTCCCTGTCTGTCTCCCTGTCAGTCTCCCTGTCTGTCTCCCTGTCAGTCTATCTGTCTGTCTCCCTGTCTGTCTCCCTGTCAGTCTATCTGTCTGTCTCCCTGTCTGTCTCCCTGTCAGTCTATCTGTCTGTCTCCCTGTCAGTCTATCTGTCTGTCTCCCTGTCTGTCTCCCTGTCAGTCTATCTGTCTGTCTCCCTGTCTGTCTCCCTGTCAGTCTATCTGTCTGTCTCCCTGTCTGTCTCCCTGTCAGTCTATCTGTCTGTCTCCCTGTCTGTCTCCCTGTCAGTCTATCTGTCTGTCTCCCTGTCTGCTTGCGCATTTATCTCCCCCTCCGTCGATTATATCTCCCTGTCCGTGTCTCCATCCATCCACCAGTCTGTCGACTGATCCGACTGTCTGCCTGTCCGTCCACGTTTATGTGAATCCGTCTGCCAATAATATCACACGACCCGTGACTTCACATCACACGGCCCGTGACTTCATATCTATCCCGAACCTCCCCCCCCCCCACCCCAACAGACGAACTCCAACTTCTCGACTGCCAAGGTGTCGGCGGAGGCGGCGGCGGCGGCGGTGGTGGCTTCATCATCAGCAGCAGCAGCGCCAGCAGCAGCAGCCTCAGCCTCAGCAGCAGCAGCAACAGCAGCAACCTCGGCGGTGGCGGCGGCGGCGGTGGCGGCAGCAAACTGCGCTGCGTCATCTGCCACCGCGGATTCAACTCGCGCAGCAACCTGCGCTCCCACATGCGCATCCACACGCTGGACAAGCCCTTCGCCTGCCGCTTCTGCAGCCGCCGCTTCAGCCAGTCGTCGACGCTGCGCAACCACGTGCGCCTGCACACGGGCGAGCGCCCCTACAAGTGCCACGTGTGCCAGAGCGCCTACTCGCAGCTCGCCGGCCTGCGCGCCCACCAGAAGTCCGCGAGGCACCGGCCCGCGGCCCTCTCGGCCGCCGCTGCGGCAGCCGCGGCGGCCGCGGCGGCGGCGGCGTTGGTCGGCGGCGGCGGCGGCGGCGTCGTGCCGGTCTCCCATCATCAGAATCATCATCATCAGCAGCAGCAGCATCATCAGCAGCAGCAGCATCATCAGCAGCAGCATCATCAGCAGCAGCAGCAGCAGCATCATCAGCAGCAGCATCAGCATCAGCGGTCCCACGCGCTTCCCGCGGGCTGCATCCCGATTGCCGCTGGGTCGATGCACGGCCACATGCCGGCCTTAGCGCTGTGAGGAGCTTGCCACTGCCAGGGTTTTTCGTCCGTGACTCTTGACAGCTCTCCGCGATTCTGCCCGACTCTCTGTGACTCCTCTCCTTTACGGCTGTCCGGCGTGACTCTCTCCATCCTACGTCTCTCCCTCCCAGTCTCTCTTCTGTGATGACCCTCGTCCAAATTGATCTGGGGCATATCCCTGACTCTCTACACCTCTCCAGGACCCAATGGTCTATTAATCTATTAATCACTTTTAATTTTACCCGGTAAAGGCCCACTGAGCTGCGTAGCTCTTTTTGAGAAGCGACCTGGCCACAGATGATAGCGCAAGGGAGTGGATTATCACGTGGAAATGGAGAGCAGACAAAATCGGAGGACCCGGTGAAAAATCCACGCGGCCATGGGGAGACGCACGAACTTAAAATATACAGCAGGCGTCAGGGTCGAGATGGAACCCACGACCTCCTGTACACCAGGCGAGGTAGTTAACATCTCCTAGCCACCGTGATGATGATGAGAGAGAGACACGCAAACTCCAAATATACAGCAGCAGGCGTTAGGGTCGGGATCGAACCCACGACCTCCTGTACACCAGGCGAGGTAGTTAACATCTCCTAGCCACCGTGATGATGATGATGATGAGAGAGACACTGCAAACTCCAAATATACAGCAGCAGGTGTCAGGGTCGGGATGGAATCCACGACCTCCTGTATACCAGGCGAGGTAGTTAACATCTCCTAGCCACCGTGATGATGATGAGAGAGAGACACGCAAACTCCAAATAAACAGCAGCAGGCGTTAGGGTCGGGATCGAACCCACGACCTCCTGTACACCAGGCGAGGTAGTTAACATCTCCTAGCCACCGTGATGATGATAATGAGAGAGACACTGCAAACTCCAAATATACAGCAGCAGGCGTCAGGGTCGGGATGGAATCCACGACCTCCTGTATACCAGGCGAGGTAGTTAACATCTCCTAGCCACCGTGATGATGATGATGAGAGAGAGAGACACGCAAACTCCAAATATACAGCAGGCGTCAGGGTCGGGATCGAACCCACGACCTCCTGTATACCAGGCGGAGTAGTTAACATCTCCTAGCCACCGTGATGATGAGAGAGAGAGACACTGCAAACTCCACATATACAGCAGCAGGCGTTAGGGTCGAGATGGAACCCTCGACCTCCTGTATACCACGCGAGGTAGTTAACATCTCCTAGCCACCGTTGCTCCTGATCTGGCCCGAGTCAGACACTCATGAGTCCATCAGTCCACCGGACATGGGTAAAACTACTGGACATCTGTGAAGTAGAGCTCCGCTGGATTCATCCGGTATAAATACAGATCCTCATTCTGTTATCGGCCTTCCGGACCAATGTTTTCCTGGCAGCGGCCGTCGACAAATCAGCTAAACGTCTGGGTTGGTTTTCACTTCTCTGGGACTCATCGGCAGCAAGAGTCCCCATCAAATCAGCGTGATGGGTTCCATTCAGCATGAATCTGTCATAGAGTCCAGGTCCGTCCACTGTTTGGTAGCGCTGAGCTGGGTTTTGAGATGGGAGGATGTCCCGAGCGGACACTGAACCAGTGGTGGACATTCCACATTACCGTGACGAGACGCAGTTCATCCATGCATGTCGACTGGTGGCCACTGTTTCATGGCTTGGGGAGGCTTTCATCCAGCAGTAGACTGATCATGGCTGATGGTGATTATGATGACGTTACTGCTGATGTTGATGGTACATATACTGGGGGAAATGCGGCTGTGGAGGCTTGTTGCCGTCCCAGCCTTACAGCCGGGCTAATGCCCCAGCTGCAGGCTGGTTGCTGCCGTTCACCTCGAGACGCACAGGGACAGCTGCCATCGGGGGGGGGGGGTCCCCTAGGCGACAACTACGGTGGGGCATTGGAATCGTTGAGGTGATGGAGGTGGTGGAGGTGGTGAAGGTTGATGGAGGTGGTGGAGGTGGTGGAGGTGGTGGAGGTTGGTGGAGGTGGTGGAGGTGGTGGAGGTTGATGGAGGTGGTGGAGGTGGTGGAGGTGGTGGAGGTGATGGAGGTTGGTGGAGGTGGTGGAGGTGGTGGAGGTTGATGGAGGTGGTGGAGGTGGTGGAGGTTGATGGAGGTTGATGGAGGTTGATGGAGGTGGTGGAGGTTGGTGGAGGTGGTGGAGGTGGTGGAGGTTGATGGAGGTGGTGGAGGTGATGGAGGTTGGTGGAGGTGGTGGAGGTGGTGGAGGTTGATGGAGGTGGTGGAGGTGGTGGAGGTGGCGGAGATGGTGGAGGTGGTGGTGGAGGTGTACGTATGGCTCTGGCGTGCAAATGCAAAACCCGGAATCCTTACAGAATTCCGAGATCGCTCCTGGAGAGTGATGTATGTCATCGATAGTAACGCTATGTGTGTGTGTGTGTTGGAATGGCTGTTAATGACCCTTTACGTAGCACTGAATGTCACCGAGTCCCAAGGCTCGCGTTCAAGACACGTCCTGCCGTCCGTTGGAAAAATTGTTGCAAAATCATTTTTTTCCTCTCTTGTTAAAAAAAAATATCGTCGAGCGAGCGAGCGTCGTCGGTTCGATTTTTTTTTTTCATTTCGCGTGTTCAGTTGCGACGGCAAGTTCGGGCTCGGGGACAGAGGGAGGGCGAGGGGGAATTGCGGAGTTGCCCCTGGCACAGTCGCGTGCACGAGATGGGCCAGGGACCCGCTTGCTCTACTACCACCACCACCCAGCGAGTCCGGACTATCGCAGCGCGCGGTTGCGATCTTCCCGTGATCCGTCAACCCCTCGAGACGACACGCCTCGATGTTACGATACCACGACCGTATTTCTCCACATTCGAGAGACGCCCTTTTTTCCCCGCTCCGTGTTGTGAAGCAAACGTTTGGGGGAGGGGGGGGGGGGTGCGTCTTATAATCCGACCAGATTTGTGCAACTTTTATCGCCAGCCTGGGACACGCGTCTTTCGTTGTGGTCTTCCTGTCCGGGGCGTCTCCGTGATCCGGAGAATGCGGGCGGGGGCGGGGGGGGGGGTCACTTCGTGTCTGTTCGTTGTCGCAACTCGTTTCGCCGGCTCTGCCTGCGTCGAAGACAACGTCGCTGTCCGCGCGAGGCGTCTCGAGGTGCCTCGAGGCGACGTTCAGCGGGGAAGAACGCGCTCGATCGGAAGCCGGTATGTCGCGTCGCTCGCCGTTTCAACGCGGGCATCGGTTGTGGAACACGTGGCCCGCGGGCTCTGCAATCGACCCCGTGACTTCGTTTCACGCGGCCGAAATCTTGCCCGCGTGTGGCCACGACCGTTCATCAGACGCGAGCCGAGATCCGATATATATTTTTTCCATTGTTGCTTCGAATTAATTAATCGTGATCTGTAGCCCTCCGCCCCAAGGTTTCTCAAACTCCAGTTTTTCGCGGCCCCAGTATGATCCGCTTTCCACGTTTGTTTTTTTTAATTAAAAAAGGTCTCCGTTCAGATGTAAATTGAGTTGTTACGCGCTACACGCGCCCGATGTTTGTTAAACTCGTCCCACGGCCAGAGAGCCGATTCAAATTGGAGAACGCGTGTGTGTGCATGTGTGTACGTGTGTGTCCCTAGTGACGTAACGCCTATTCAAATAATTATCCTCTCAACCTTTGGGTCAGCATTCTTCGTGGCACGTGGGACGTGTTTAACAATCATCAGGCATGCGTAGCACTAATTCAAAACATCGCAATTCCAAATCGTCCCTCCCTGCTCCCCCACGGTGAGACGTGTTTAACAATCATCAGGCAAGTGCGGCGTGCATCATGAAACGACTTAACTCGCATTTGAAAGCGAGAGGGATCGGTCAACTTTCGGAGACGGGTACTGGTTTTGGGTCTTGGGGTCTAGCTGGAGTGCTGGTGATACACCCTTGCTTGTAGTCTGTATGGGATACTTGAGCTAGCACATAATACAGTACACGGTGTAAATAATAACGACGATGATGATGCTGATGATTATTCCTGTTACACTTATTACCATCACCTGTATACCTCAACATGTAAACAACCTCTCCCTATCTCTGGCTCCATAGGTACGCGTTGGAGCTTTCGGAGAGAGAGAGAGAGGAGATAAACTAAATATTCCCTGTACATTTATATGTATATGTATTATGAATATGTATTTATATAAACACGGTATTTTGCAATAAAAAACATTGTAATAAAACTTGCGGTTTTTGCTTGGATTAGTTCGTTGTCCTGCCGATTATCGCGGTTGGCTGCGTAATTTTATTCGGAGAGTTTACAAAATTTTCAATTGTCATCAAGGGATTATGGATGGACGATGACCAATAATACTGCAGTAGTAGTAATACTAATAATAACAGGGCTGATAGCCAGAGAGGCAAGCAGTTTCAAGAGGCGAGTTTTCAAGACAGACTTAAACATATCTGGCGAACTCTGGATCTCGTCTTATGAGCAAAAGCCCCGCGCATTCCACGGCTGCACTGGCAAAAAGCCCGACCAGCCCTGCAGGGACAGAGAGGAGCCTTGAACCCTCGGAGTGCTGAGATATATAGGCGATCCGAAGACCTCACGTATGGAGAATTGGTTCCCGTTAAATATCGCGGGGTTGCAGTACTTAATATCGGTGTGGCTAGGTGGAGTGTTGAATCGCATGGCTGTGAGAGGTGGCGGCCTTCATCTCCAGCAGTGGATTTATCTTGGCTGCTGCTGATGATGATGATGGTGACGGTGGTGATAACGTGCGGTTTCAGAAACACGTACATCT